GGCCAGTCTGTTTGACTAATTATTTAAGTTAACTTGTAGCTTAACTTAGCTTGATAGTCTATAAATAGACTGTTTTTTCAGGTTGTTGAGAGAGAGTTTTAGTTGTTGATATTCAGTTGTAATCTTTGAATCCTAATAGAGAAAGTGAATAGTAAAACAACTATAACAAATCCTGATTCTTCTCCTTCCTTCTTCTCTCTTTTTCGTAAAACTTAATATGATTTTTTGTGTTTGCTCAAAAAACTCAATTTTTCTCATATTTTTTATTGGTTATTAACGACATCAATTCACAATATTAATATAATATATTAAAAAAAAGTAAGAAAAGATATTAAAATATGAGAAAAGAGAACATGCGCTAATAGAATAAAATATATTTATACTGTCAACCAATAAAAAATATGTATTCTGCCAAATCGCTCTTTTAATTTTAAAATATGAATATAATTTGCTAAGGTTAAACATTTTAATTAAATATCTATGTAAAATTGATTTACACGCACTATCCTTAATCTCTTAAAATATATGTTTACAATTCAATTTTGGTTTAATAAATCAATCTAAAAATCTATTGTAACGCTCATTACAAAAGGAAAGATAAACAAATTGAAACATATCTCTATTTTACTTTTTTTGTTTTAAAGAAAAATTAATCTTACTATTTTTATTTTAATTGGATCATATTTAAATTTTTTTAATTATGTTGAGTATAATAAAGTGTGAGTAATATGGATATTAGTCTCATATTGGTTACAAATATGGAGGTTTGATTATTTATAAGTAATAGAACTCACCCACCTTTCACCTTAAGGTTTTAGGTGATTCTGTGGATGTCTCTCACAAAAGTGTTGCTCTAGAAAAACAGTCTCACAATATTCAATTCTCCCTATTGAAAAAACTTATCCAACAGTGATATTAGAGGGCGGTTTGGTGTTATAATAGCAGATGATAAGTCAGAACCTGAATCAGTAGAATGAGTCGTTTTAGCTTATTTGATAATCGCTTATTTTTTCCTATTTTCTAAGTCAAAACTTAAACCCCCATAAACTGTTACTTTAGTTGGTTAATTTAATACAGAACCCTTTTGATACGACTCGGGTCATTGTCGCTAAAATACTGCTTTTAAAATTACTTGTTTTGACCCGCGTCCGACAACCGATCAAATTGGCACCATTGTCAGAAAATCTTGTCGATTTTAACCAATTTTAAAATTCTAGTTTAGAGTTTTGTTATATTTTTTTGTTTTTTTGTTTTTTGTTTTGCTTGTTAATTTTTAGGGACAAAATCTTTTAGAATTCTATTTTTAAAAAGCAATATTTATAAGTGAAAGAATCTACTCCCATCTATTATTTTAAAATTTTGAGTAAATATATGATATGTCTCTTACAAAAATATTGTTCTAAAAAACAATCTAACAGTATTCAATACTCCCTAATAAAAAAACTCTCCCAATATTCATCGTGGTTGATACTCATTTTAACTTAGATGTGAATATTCACATTTGGTAATATATCCCTTCTAATCTTATAGACTAACCGATAAAAGTCCTTGCATGTGTACGAATAACTTTGCAACAATTGTATTAAATCATAGAGAATTAGTATATAAAATATAGCACTTACATAGCATGTCAATATAAATTTAATATTATTAATCGTTTTTATAAATAGAACTTCTCTTGACACAGGAGCATTTGGTAATATCCCTTCTAATCTTATAGAGTTAAACTCTTAATTTAAAATTCTACATTTGTATAACTGCATTCTAACTTAATCTTATAGAATATCCATTGAACGTGGCATTTATCCTCTCATTCATGTGTGCTCTTAAGTATTCAGGATTTTATCTAATCTTATATTATACCCTAATTAAAAAATTTATTTTATAAAATAATTGCTGTAACTCTAAACACGCCCAAAGATGATAGATATTAGATATTTAAAGAAAATCGAATCTTTCCCAAAACAGAAAATAAAATTAAAAATTAAAAATTCATATAATAATAGATTGAAAGTATAATCGAATCTTAGGCGTCAGAAATCACTAGAAAAGTTGCATATAATTTAATTTTTATCTTAAAAGCAGAATGAAACTTTAACTACAGTTGAGCACATTCATGTGCGATCTCAGATCCGTGATGCCATTGGTTTTTCTTCACTCATGTTTCTTTGTTACCACTCTTAACTTTTATCCAACATTGTTAATTAGTTCTTTCTCAAGATGGTTAATACACGTATTTCTTGTTGCTATTTCTTTTATTGGTGGAAGTGAAACAAGGCTTCACTTTTTATTTGTTACTGATTCAAAGAGGAAAGAGACACTAGAGACACATTCAGCAGCAACAATGTGCGGAAGACAGAGATTTAGACAACTTTTGTGATGTTACACTAGATAATAGAGCACTCAATGCCCTTGCGAAACTAGATGTTAAATTGAATTTTGCATTGCCCTGTCATCTTCTTAAAAATTTATTCTAAAATATTATGTTTTTGAAATTAAATCCCATAATGTCAGTTTTAAGAAAATTAAGATTATTGGTATAAGGGTGTCGTCCTTTTAATGGGCGGCAGTATCTTAATTTATTGAATGCCGTCTTTTCAATTAGCGACAGCAGCAGTGTCTAATACTGTTTTTTTATATTTAACTTTTACGTTTTAATTCATTTTTAATATTAATAATATATATATATATATATATATATATATATATATATATATATATATATATATATATATATATATATATATATATATATATATATATATATATATTAATATATATTAATAATATTAATATAAATATATATTAATAATATTAATACTAATATTATTAATATTACCAATACTAAAAATGTTAATATTAATATAATCAATTAATATATAATAATATTAATATAATTTAAATATTAATATTAATATAGTTTTAAAATTAATTTATATTAATTAATATTATTAATATTAATATAGGTTGATAATAATAATTAATATTATTTAGTAAGAGATAATGAAGCTAATATAATTAATATTATTTAATACATAATTTATATTAATTGATATTATTAACTAATATTATTTAATACATGATAATTAATAAAAATACTAACGATTACTTGTTCCCACATTGGGATACCGGGTTCGATTGTGGCCCGTTTCACGACACATGAAGCATTTTCTCTTAAGCTTATCAAAGTTATCCATTTCCGTTCTAATACGTGTGCTCACCAGGCGACCTTTCTCGTTCCTCCGCATTCTTGGGTTATGACAAATTTGATCTCCTTCATAAACGGGCCAATATTCATCGTACGACAGCACTCGAAAGTTTGTGTTGTAAACCCCAAACAGGTTTGTAACCCTATAAACGTCGGACAAAAGAGCGTAAGCGTCGTGGCGCACATTCGAACATGCAACGATAACATGTGAGCAAGGGACATGATATGCTTGAAACTTTCCGTAGTCACACCACCCGTTCAAGAGGTCGACCTTATAATGTCCCATAGGCTTCCCCTCACCATGGTCAATTGTCTCCTTCACACTGAAAACATTGTTAGTGTAGTCAAAAATTCTGACTTGATGTGTGCTGGATTTTGTTGTTTCTTCTTTCATCACCTTGAGGCAGCTGCCTGTAAATGTTTGGTCAGAATTCAACTTAGCACTCCACTTTGCACCCCTTTCAGCAAATAAAGATCCCAGTCTATAATATGTTGCTCTTACCAGTGCTGTAATGGGCAAATTACGTGTGCCTTTAAAGACGTCATTCAATGACTCAACAAGGTTGGTAGTCATGTGACCCCAACGTCGACCCCCGTCAAATGCCCTTGTCCATTTTTCGGCTGAAATATTGTCAATCCACCTCAAAGCATCTGTACTTTCCATGTCAATCTCTGACCGATAGTAATGAAATGTTGGTTGGTTTAAAGCATACCCTAAATAATTAAAATATCAACAATGGACAAAAAATAATATATGTTATTGACAAAATTTAATGAATATTATGAAATATAGTTACCCATGTTATTATTTTTTTCCGTAGGTTCATGTCCTTGATTTCTCTCATAAAATTTTGTGCAATGTGTCGGATACAATAAACATGCACTGATGGGGGATTATGCCAACCATTTTCCGCATTGTTGTATGCACTTTCAATTGATGCATGTCGGTCTGAAATTAAACATAGGTCTTGTTGTGGCACAATATGCCTCCTTAAGTTTCGCAGAAAAACCCCCAACCTTTAGCGGTTTCACCTTTCACAAGGGCAAAAGCAACAGGAAAAATATTGTTGTTGTCATCTTGTGTCACTGCCATAATCAATGTACCCTTGTACTTACCGTATAACCAGGTTCCATCAATTTCATGTATAGGTTTGCAATAGGCAAAACCTCTGATGCATGGTTGGAATGCCCAAAATAGCTGGTGGAAGATGTGTTTCCCTTCAGCAAGTGTTCCGTCAGCTGTATACATGGGTAGTATTTCTATTTCTAGCACAGTGCCCGGAACAAATTTTTTAAGTGCTAACAGAAAATGTGGAAGTTCATTGTATGAGTTCTCCCAATTACCGTACACCTGTTCAATTTCCTTATTCCTTGCAAACCATGTCTTTATGTAAGACGAAGTAAAATTGTATTCAGAAACAATTTTACTTATGCAAACACTAACCTTAATAGAAGGATCCTTGTCTACAAATGACATTAATTTCTGAGACACTAACTGCGAGGTTAGTTTTTTATGATCCTGGTTAAACATAGTTGTTGAACAACTATGGGGTGGGTTCATAATGCCTATCTCCCACAAGTCACTTCTTTTTCGGTAGGATGCCAATAGACGAAACTTGCAGGAATCATTCTTGCAACAAATTATGTATCTCTTCTTGTCGAAATCTGTCACTTTATAATCCACGTAGTGTTTCATGTGATATTGCTTAATTGCAGCCACACAGTCAGCTTTATTTTTAAATTGGTTACCGACTTCTATGTCACCCTCCATTGGAATATGAGGATTCCATGGTCATTCAAATGATGTTCCTTCTACATTTAGCGGCAGGTTTGTCATATGCGTCGGTGGACTGAATACATTCTCAACTAGAATGTGTTGTTCATCTCTGTTGATTTTGTTGACATCGTTTCCTTCCTCAAACAAAGTAGTATATAAATCATCAACTTGTGCCTCGTTTTCTTCTTCGCCATCATCTTCTTCAACATCTTCGAGTGGAATTATGGTTGGCATTTCCTCTATGGATGGATTGATGACATGAGAAATTTGAGTTTCTTGACATTGTACAAATGTTATATATAATTCAATGTGCTGAAACCCAAAACGTTCATGATTCGAGAACATCATTTCAACATCCTCGTCGTCACAAACCTTTAATGGAACAAATTTAAAGTGATGGTCCCCGAAATGGACAACATTTTTGTATGTAATTTGTGTAACTGATCCTGCTTGCACCTTCATCTTTATCCTATCTTTAAAATGTTGGAATGACGATCTTTTATTAACACTAAAACGAGTTACGTCAGTGTTTTCATAGATCAAACCCACTTCATCTGATACAACAACACTCCCATTGTAATGAGCATTAACAATATATTGTTGACTAGTAGACATTATATAAGATGATGAAGATCAAATAGTATGAAGAAATAGTATGAAAATGTTTGAAGATGATGAAAAAATAATGGGAACTACTCATAGTTATAAAGCAAATGATAGAATTCATTTGGCATTTTTCAGCCTTGCATGTAAGAATATTACACGTTGGAATTGGTCAACAGAAGAATAAATGTGCCGCCCATTGAAAGGGAGGCTGTCAAACATAATTAAAGGGAGCCGCCCATTGCATTAACGACAGTTAGAAAAGAAATAAAGGTGTCGCCCATTTATTATGCGGCAATCAGACACAATTAATATGTTCCGCCCATTGGTGTTGCAGCTGGCAGACATAAAGTAAATGTGCCGCCCATTTAAAGGGCGGCAGTCAGACACATTAAAGGTGTTCTGCTCCCATGCATGCAGACACGTGCATCTCAAAATTATTTTTCACCAACACCTATTTAATTCTTCCCTACATTAATCTCCTATAAATACCATTCTTAAAAAATCTCTACATACCAATCTTAAAAAATCTCTAATCCCTTTTTAACTATGTTAAAGTTTCTATGGAAGCCCTATCTTGAACTTGAAGATGAGGATCCAACTGAAAGCGACATGTGAAGTTCTACAACATTCATATTTTGTTTCACTTATGTTGAAATGCATCATTCAGATAGGGTGAAACTCCAACTTGGAACTCAACAAGACATTCCTGATCCACCTACATGCATGGAGAGGTACCACAAGAGTACAACGAACGACCAATGGAAATTCGATAATTGGAGAGACCATAACTGACAAGAACGCCAGCACTGGATAAATCGTCGTCGAACTGGTCTACAAGAAAATGTCATGGATACCGAATGTAAACCCAATAGGGAATACATGAATTGGTATAGATTTGTGACCATTTTGTATCTATCACAAAATAGATACTTATGGGACCCTCGTAACGAACCAACTTCTTCAAACTTCTAAAACACCAGACAACCTTGTAACACCCAACCATAAACATTTAACACCCCTCAACAAATATTTAATACCCAACCACAAATATGTAACACCCAACAACAAACATTCCACACCTAACAACCTTTCAACCCGACACAACAACCTTATACCCCAAGCCAACACTACCATCAACCTTACCTATCATTTAACCCAACCCCCTTTAACACCCAACAACAAAACCCAACCTCTTCATACACCCAATATAACCAATACTCATTCCTTCAACCTACGCCACAAGAACACAGCTACAAAACTCCCCAATCACAAGTTCCTTTTTACCCCTCACAAACCTTCACCCTTAATTCATCTCAAGACCAACATCCGTACACCCCTTACATGACTAACACAATGCCACCTTCAAACCTACCAAGTTGGAGTAATGAGGGAACAAGATTAAGCTATGATAGTGCGACAGCGATACCAACTATGGACGATTTGAGTGATGATATGGTCGCTGAATTCATGAACCCTATCAATGATGCAGGACCTTCTACACAGCCCCCAAACGTTAATGTTGATCGTAGAAGGTCCACCAGAAATGTACACGCTCCTGCCTGTGGAACCCACCAACGCTTACGTCGACCGGGTCAAAATTAATTAAGGGTGGATAGGAATTTTATTGTAATTTTTTAATTTCAAGAATAAATAAATATTTATTTCAGTTCATTTATTGTATTTTATTTTATAATTATTATTATCTATTTCAATGTATTATTTTATTTTAATTAGTACTATTTTAAAATAATTATTTTAATTTTATTTTATTTTAATGTACTATTTTATTTTTTATTATTATTATCTATTTCATAATTATTATTTATAATTTAATAATAATTATTTATAATTTAATAATTATTATTTATAATTTAATTATTATTATTATTTTTCTTAATTAACTAAATATAATACATAAATAAAAATAATTAAAACGTAAAAAAAAAATCAGACTTGGACGCTGCCGCCCATTGGAAGGGTGGCACCTTAAAAAAAATAGGACAGTTCCGCTCATTGAAAGGGCGACACCCTAGTGCCAAAAAAATATTTTTTTTGAAACTGTGGCATTTTGGTATATTTGTTGAAACATATGGCATTTTGGAAATAAGTTACTAAAAAGATGGCAGGGCAGAAAAAAATTATGTTAAATCACTTTTTAAGGAAAACCAACTACGTTTGTGTGGTTTTTGTTTGTTTTAATAATACCATATAAATTGAGAAAAATAGACTCAAAACTGATAAAGCTCTAAGTCCATCTTGTACTAATGGTAAAGACTATTAGGAGGTCTTCTAGCCACACCCATTCATAGTGGTTTTACATTGCAGTTATGTTCATAGATGTGGTTGCGGTTGTTAAGTATATTGGACTCTTTATTTTGATTTCTTTGTATTGGGCCTATACTGTTATTTTTGTCGTATTGTTTAGGCCCACTTTCCTTATATAGTTTGTTTGTTTTTTCAGTGGCTAGTTGAACTTTTTTTCTCTTTTGGTTCTGATATATGAACCTTTGGTTTTCTAATATCTTATAACCTTACTTTGTACACTTTTATTGCATAATCAAATAATGGAACAGTTCTTGAGTTTTTCACTTTTCTTCTGCGTGATGCATCAACATGGTATCAAAGCAACTATGCTCTGGTAGCCATCGTTTTTCTCTTTCGCTCTTTATTTTGTTCCTCGTCAATGGTTATCAGCTACTCTGATTTTTCCACAAACTCAACCAACCCTTATTATCTCCATCCGAATGAAAAACCAACTTTTGTTCTTGTTTCCCCTCTTCTTAATGTCAAGAATTACCACACATGATCTAGATCCATGGAAATCATTCTTATCTCTAAGGACAAACATCATTTCATTGATGGCTACCTTCCCAAACCTTTGCCCTCATATCCTCTTCACGCTCTATGGACACACTGTAACACCATGGTTCTTGCTTGCCTCTTCCGTTCCATCTTCAAGTCAATTGCAAAATCGGTTATTTGGATTCAAACCGCTTCTGGTGAGTGGACGAATCTTCGCACGCAATTCTCTCTAAGCAACGTTTTTCTGATTTCTGATATCCAAGAAGACCTTTACAAATTTCTTCAAGGTACTTTATCTGTTTCTGATTACTTCACACAATTAAAGGTTTTTTGGAATAATCTCGAATCTTATCGTCCTCTTGCTTCTTCTTCTTGCGACATACTATGTACATGTGGTGCTCTTGCGTCTATCAAAACATATCACTAAGAGGATTATGTGATTCGTTTCTTAAAAGGCCTGAATGAAAAATTTTCCTCCTCAAAGTCACAGATTATGATGATGCATCCTCTCCCTGATATTGATCGAGTTTTCTCTCTTGTAATCCAACAAGAACGAGAACTTAATCCTGTTACATCATTGGATTTGCCTCTAGATGATATACTTGTTTCTGCAGCTCCTTCGTAGGCTAATGCCACCCAATTTACCGGTGGTAACAAGAATTCTAATCCAAATTATAAGGGCAAAAAACCTAGTGTCTGCACTCATTGTGGTCGCACCAATCATACAGTTGATACATGTTTTGTCAAACATGGTTATCCACCAGGTTTCAAGAACAAGCCAAAGACAAATTCTTCTGCCAATAGTGTTTTTGATACTCCTCTTGGCAGTTCCACATCTACCAGGTTTAGTTTCACGCAGGAGCAATATAACAGCACCCTTGAGCTTCTTCGGCAGTCAAGAATAACTTCCTTTACCAACTCTATCTCCAGTGCACCTCTTGCCATGACCACTAACTCTCCTTCTCTTGCTGGTAAGATATCTATCCCTTGGATACTTGATACTGGTGCCACAAATCACATTACCTATCACTTTGACTCTTTCATCACACACCACTCCATTAACCATATTTCTGTCACACTCCCTAATGATACACATATCAATGCTTGTATAACTTGTAGCATTTCCCTTTCCCCATCTCTAATCATCTACAATGTCCTTTACATTTCCACTTTTACTGTCAACCTTGTATCTGTTACTCAACTTGTTAATGCACATGATTGCCACTTATCTTTTTTTGCTAATACTTGTCATATCTTGCAGAACGCCTCCAAGAAAATAATTAGTTTAGTTAATCTCCAAAAGGGGATTTACATACTTGATCCATCCATTCATCATTCTACTTGTAGTACAACTGATTCTAATTCATATGACCTTTGGCATTTAAGGTTAGGACATATTTCTGATGTAGGTTTAAAACTATTTCTAAACTTTTTCCTTTCATTTCTTGTAAGCCTACTTTGGCACCATGTCATTCTTGTCATAATGCTAAGCAAAAACGCCTTTCTTTTCCCTCTAGTACTATACATACTACTGCTCCTTTTCAATTGTTACTTGCTGATTTATGGGGTCCATACTCCACTATTTCACTTTTAGGACAAAGATATTTATTAAATTTAGTTGATGATTTTACAAGATATACTTGGGTTATTTTCTTAAAATCTAAAGACCAAACCAAACTTAGCATCATCAATTGTGTTGCATACATTGAGAACCAATTTCATACCACACCTAAATGTTTAAGATCTGATCATGGAAGTGAGTTTTTAGTTTTTAACATCCTTTCTTTTGTCTAAAGGTATCATGCAACGTAAGTTTTGTTCTGAAACTCCACAACAAAATGGTGTGGTGGAATGAAAACACCAACATATTTTAAATGTAGTAAGATCCCTTCATTTTCACTCCAACGTTCCCTTGTCCGTGTGGGACTATTGTGTTCAGCAAGCTATACATATCATAAATCACCTTCCTTCTCCTCTCCTTAACTCTCAAACTCCCTATGAACTTATTTTTGAAATCCCACTCTCATATATGCATTTGAAGTTTTTTTGTTGTTTATGTTATGCCACATCCTCCCAAGCTCATAGAACAAAGTTTGATTCTAGGGCTCGCAAATCTATGTTTCTAGGCTACAAAGAAGGTATTAAAGGCTTTATTTTATATGAACTTACAAGCCATGCCATTTTTACATCTATAAATGTAGTTTCTT